CATTCAAGTTTTGCAACAATATTGACTGAGTTTATTTCTAAAAGATATATAATTGTAGGTAAAGTTAATACGTCATGTAAAAAAAGTTTTGAGTATGTTTTGATTTGTATAATCGATATAGTTATAATGATATATGTTATATATCCATTATATACGTGATTTTTAAAAATTTCCATCTTAATTATCTTACTATATATATACACACACATACATATTGAATACAACATGTATTGGTTATCAGATCATAATTGATAAAATAAAAACATTGATAGTTGCCAAAATTGAAAGATAAATAAATTTAAGAGTGCTTTGTCAACATATGTATAAAATTCTGAAAACATTATTTGAGTTATTTGGCGTTAAATTCATTTTTGCAAATTTTGTTGGTTTGAAATAATAGAATTTCAAAAACTCAGTTTGAATTTGTTTTGTTATTATTACTATGATTTCATCTTTGCACATTGTCTTTGTTTAAAATAATTAAATAATAATAATTTCAAAACATCAGGTGAAGTTTGTTGTTTCATCATTTATGAGCACATTTTGATTATTATGTTGGAAAGCATTTTTTCTTTGTGATTCAACTTTGTTCTTAGAAATGTTATAATAAGTATAGAGGACTATAAGTCTCACTATCTCAATATCTAGTATTCTTATGTGACTGCTTAAAGGTTGTATTTGCAATAAATGGATGAGTTGTTGATTGAATGACATGGATACCAAAATGTGATTGGCTCACGCAAGAAAGAGTAATTTCTTAAAGACATTTCTCCTTAAAAGTACATATTGGTTTGAATGATTTTGAATGTTGGTTTGAAACTTGGCTTTTTGATGTCGACTATTGAGCCGTATCTATGAAATTTGAGTCAAATTTCATTTGTGTCAATGTAGATGCTTGTATTTAGATATCTGATGGCTTTGAATGTGTTGAAACTTTAGCTTTATTTGTGTGAGATTCGAAAGGAAATGTCTTCAGGGAATATAAGATAAATATGCAAACAAATCTACAATAGTGGAATCTTTACATTGTACGAACTTCCCCGTCCATAATAATTTGATGACAACTCAAGTGGGACCAGAAAATATTTTTGTGTACAGCAATTTTTACATTGTACGAACTTCCCCGTCCATGATAATTTGATGTTAATTCAAGTGGATCCAGAACATATTTGTGTGTACAGCAATTTAAAAATATGGCTTCAGAATTCATCCCTTTCTCTGAGAAGATGATGATAAAAAATGTGTACGGAGTTGTTCCCCGGACTGTACAAATTTTATTGGGATGCTTTTATGGAACCCATAAAATCCTTTCCAAGCGCAAGACATATCCATGCTCCAAAAGTCCCACCTGCCCAATTTGGGTGCGCGTCCATTAAGTTCTTGGTAATATTATCACGGTCATGATTTGTCTTACACGTCGCGTGTTCTCCACTCTCCAAGCACAGATGAGAACAAACCTTTTGATTCAATTTTCTCGTAATCTGGTGACTGGTTTCTGTATGAGATCGTATGTCTCCCACTAAAGTCCATCTTGTCTGCAGTTTCCAGGTGACGAATGTCCCAAAACTACTACCTTCCCCATACGCTTTTCTGTCATCATCTCCACGACGTTGCAGTACCAAACCTCAGGATGCGCAGAACCCGAAGAGACACAAGGCAAAACAAGCTGCTGCCAAGCAATTTCAATGCAGACCTCTGGTCTGCATGAGTTGGTGTTCATTATTGAATGAGATTTATGCGAGGGATGGCGAAACTAATATTGGAGTCAAGACTGTGCAGTAGTTGCTGAAATGTCAAGGTATGCAAATCCATCCAACAAAGGAAACCTCAATGCGTGCACTAAAAAATTGAGCGAGAAGAAAAAAACTTATTGATCATCCAACTAGCAAGGCAATCCAAATTCTCGTTAAGTGATAAATCTCTCCAAATAGCGTGGTTTTACTGGGCAGAGTATCTCTCGAGGAACGAAAGAGTGCACATTGTCGTTGAAAAGCTACTGCGCCGATTTGTTCCCACTCTCTTGAACAATGGAGATGATGATGTTTTGTAAACCACTACAATACATTATCATCTCCATTATCGTGTTACTTCCTTCAACTCTCGCTGTGACTGTACATAAGAGACTTTTGTTATATTTTCAACATGACAGAGTCAGCAGCTTTCCCTGCAATCCAAAATAATTCTTATCATATGAATAATTTGAAGTAACATTTCTTCCTATCTTCTCTTCCTCAAAAAAATACGTTAACAATGTGTTGCTTCTTTTAAGTCACGCTGTGTCTGTACATAGGAGACTTTTGTTCCAGTATCAACATGAATGCGTCAGCACCTTTCCCTGAAAATGAAAATATTATTGTCATATGAATATTTGAAGTAACCTTTCTTTTTATCTTCTCAACCCAAAAAAATATAGGTTAACATTGACTTGTAACGTTAACACTAACAATCATTACATGGTCAAATCTGCAGTCGAAACCTTTGAACTCATCACTCGCCACTCATTGTCATAAGATGAACCAAATCGAGAATAAATTACAGTGTCAAGGAAATCAATAACCAAACAATTGTTAGTTTATGTCCAATAATCGATCAAATAGAGCATAAATTAATGACTTCATCTCTGAGATTTCAACACTTCACTTTCGTCATGGAAGCGGTAACGAACGAATCCAAAGCACTGTCAAAAGGTCGTACCTGATCATAAGTATGATTTCCTATCTACCACGTTTTGAGCCATAGACAAAGTCAAAGATCAGGGTTCTTGAGTTTTGCACAATATCTTCACTTCTATGCAGGTGAAAATCTTGATAAAGTCCTATATGACTTTGTGATAATTGAACAGTGGTATAGTGATTTTTTTTCTAAGGCTTAGATTTTTAAATAAAAGTAGATGCATTCAGATTGTATCTTGGAAATGCATAGAACTTTAAATTTTGATACATTTAGATTTTCTTTAAGAATCTATAAATTACAAAGATCTTAAATATTGGGAAATATCCCCAACACTATATTTATCTGTTTTTCCGAGAATTTTTTGGGATCTACTATATTCGAATCTGTTCATGATTTCCAATGACCGTTGTGAGATTGTATTTTTCAGTTTTTGGAACAAATATCTATAATGTGATATCTATTTATTGGTCGGATGCCTGGTAGTCGAATTTACGTTGAGTAGACTCCTCCAGAGTTGATTCAATAATTATTTGACAAAAATGAACTCTTCGTTCAAATCAGGAAGATTAGAGCATTTCTCTTTTTGTTCATGTAGAGTGATTATACATCGTACATAACACATAACAGTCATTACAAGTCTCTTGAACATATTTGCCCCAATAAATGGTTTTGAAAAGCTATTTGTTGACCTCTTTTGAGCTAATCTTGTCGTCCTAGAGTATGTTGTTGTAGATGCTCTCTCTACACTCTCAACTTAAAGCTATAGCTTTGCTGTTGAATATTGTATATGAATATTATCCCCATGACATGATTTGACACATTGTAATAAGCATACACTTCTGATCGTTCAATCTCATTTCAAGCTGCCTTGCTTTCGCTTTCATATCATGTTGATTGATTGCTTGTTTCGATTGAAAGTTACTATGTTCTCTTTGATGAAATTGTCAATGAGTAAACTATTTAGCATGGTATGTTGTTGTCTTCTTGTTTTCATTCTTTGTTCAAGTGCCTTTCTTTGAGAGATGTAAGGTATATATGTTTGAATTAGAGCTTTAGCAGATGTGGTCACTTCCTCTGACTTGTAAGAACAAATTAAAGTACAAAGCACTAATAAAAATAGAGTTGTATGGGAAAATGAAAAAATAGAACACCAAAGATTTGACAAGACCAGCCCTGAAACTGAGGGAAAAGGTTTTTAACCGTCATTACAGCACAATGAACTGAAAAACTTCCTTCGCAAGTAAAAATGAACAGAGCTTGTGTGAAAGCATCTGCGGGAGGGAGAATCAGGAATCTTCATAATAGTCCAGGGGTACGATCGAATGTGAGTCAACATTTTTTTAATAAATTGTACAGCGCCATAAAGAAAAAGAAATGAAAATCTCTGAAAAAGACCCTATCCAAAAATTTGGAGGGCAGAAATCCACAATGCCCATGAGGAAGGGATAGATTGGCTGGCCTCGCCTTGCCATACTTTACCAGCCAGACCTTAAGCACCGATGAATCGCTCACTTCCAGTAGCAGGGCCTGCTGCGGAGTTCTCCCGGCTCCTCCAATAAGGGCAAACCACGTCGGACAGCGCGCAGATTGCTAGTCTAGGGAGAAATCGCCTTTTTAGGCTTAGCGGCTCATCCCAGCAAACCCGTTTGCCCCGCCATTAACAGCCAGTGCGAAGATTATGTTACCCGGAGGGCCCCTGCGAAGTCGCTGTTGGCCCTAACTACGTCCGAAGCACGGACTGACTTGCATGCATTGGCATCAGAACCGCGCGACTTGTCACCTCGATGGATCTCCCTGACGTGCGTGGTACTTGCGACACGTCGTATCTTATCACCGAAAGAGTGATTAAGAGCTACGCCGCTGCTGGGGGCAGACAGTACTGTACCCGCGTTGCGCTAGGGCTTGGCAGAGCTCGGGCAGTGCGGGCAGGGCGGGGCCTGGGCAGAGCGCAGCGATCATAGGATAAGGAGAAGTCGAGTCCTGGCCCGCGAAAGAAAGGGTAGCGGAGGAGAGGAGACGAGAGGAGACGAGAGGGGAGGGGAGATGACGAGCAGCCGAAAGGAAAGGAAAGCCGAGGAAAGAAAAGAGAAAGAGAAAGAGAAAGAGGAAAGAGGAAGAGAAGGCCGGTACCGGAGTCGGGAAGGGCGAAACGGAGCCCCCGGAGGCAGGAAGTTCGCGGCCCTGGGGTTTAATTAAACTAAACCTGTGGTGGGTAATGCTTGGCAAGGGTAACCGGAGCTGAGGATTGGGATTGGGGTGGGCGAGGCGAGGAGAGGAGCAGCAGGACTCGGGAGTAGCTGCAAGGCGCTCGACGCCGAGGTCCGCCTGCGCGATTGCCCGCCCGCCCTCGCCCTCGCCCGGGGAGAGGAGAGTAGTGGGCGCTACACACTTTACCTGCCTCTGCCGCGCCTCCATCAGCGATTGTCGTACCGCCTTAGGAGAAGCCATCCAGCAGCCAGGCAGCCACGCAGCCAGGAACGCAGCAAGGGAAGGCGAGCGAGCGAGAGAGCGAGAGAGCGAGCAGAGCAGAGCGAGAGCGAGACGGCAAGGCAAGGCAAGGCAAGCGAAGGAAGGGAAGGAAAGGTGAAGGGAAGGGGAGAGCGAGAGAGCGAGCAAGCGAGCGAGAGAAAGCCTGATAGCCCGACGCGAGTTGTGGCACGGAGCAGCACCGGAGTGAATAGACTGGCGAGGTGGACGAGGCTGGGCGAGGAGAGCCGTGTGCGACAGGCGACGAGGATCTGCGTTTGGTGCAGCGCGCGAGCAGCGTGCCTTCTGTCAGTGGAGTCGTATTCGTGGAACATCGCGCATGAATCCGAAGCTTCATCGCGGATATGCGGTCTCGTGCAACCCTATCTGGAGGCTGTCGTTGATCCACTCTGCCCAGTGATTGCCTTAGCCAGCGTTTGGCCTGCGAGCGGGGGGTGCGAGGTCGCGTCGGAGGGGCGAGGAACGGGCGAACGAGCGAGTTGGATTATTCCATGGCTTGAATTTAATTTTTCTTTTGGCGAACAGTTGCATGGTGGAGTGTTTAAGTTGCGAGGTCGGTGTGCCGAGAATATACAGCGTTTTGCAGCATTTGAGAGAGGTTTTGTTAGTGGACACGATTCATGTGTGGAGATACTACCCGTTCTGCTGTGCGTTAGTTAGAGACACAATAAATTACCGGCCTTATTTTTTTGTCCCAGGGCTCGGACGAAGTGCAATTCCGATCTTTTTTCATCCCTTCCCAGTTCATGTCAACTCTACTGAGTCGTATGTTTCAGGGTTTTGGTATGCCCTTGTGATGGGAAAGTGCTAGTAGGCAGAAATACGTGAGAAAAGAACATTGAGTGAACGGGAGAGCCAGGTCGCGACGAACGTATACAATTCGGTGAAGTGGGTCCCAAAGCTTTCTCAGCGAAGAGCCCAGTGGTAGTCAGACAGAAGGAGCGTATATGTGGCCTTAAAGATGGTGGCAACCAAAAGAAGCCCTCAGCCAGAGGTGAATAATGCGAAGGAGAAGCGATCAGGAAACACCGAGGCGGGGTCTGTCTTTCAAGAGCCGCTAGGGGGCTTCATATTTGTCTGCAACAATGAGACAATGGGAGAGGACTTCGAGCGACGTCTCTTTGGTATGTCTCTGCATTGATCATTATTCTTTCAGGGTCATTCTCTGTCAAGGTTCTTGAACATCATACCTGCTACAGACTATGTCACAATTGTTTCGGACGTACATGAACTTCGGGGAGGTTTGATTGGTGTTCCATCTTCCTGAGAGGCTTTTACGCTGAAATTCACTCTTCAGGCTTTCACGGAGGTCGTGACGAACCTGTTTCCTGGTCATTCTCCTTGAATTGGCTTTCCTAATTCATGACAGTAGTTTTGGATTCAGTGTCTGGGTTTCATACCCAATAACAAGAGCTGTGCAACCGATCGTACGAGCTTGAGTTACAACCTTCTGCTATATATTGCTGTCCAAGGCCCTCATTACACCGTTTATCATCCTGCATTCGTCCTTTCAATTTTGGAAGATCCATCAGTGAGGAGTCTGCATCTGTCCCCCACGAGACCTTACATGTGTGAGAGTTTGGAACCTGGAAGGAGCTCTCCGACCTGAAAGTTCCAACCAAGTCGGCTCCACTCGGCTTTGACGTTTTACTCACAGATACCTTCTTGCTGGATTGCGTAAAACTACAGCGTGCAAGCCTTGTCGTTATAACTGTGTCGTTCAAGGTGTCGTAGTACGCTTTCAGAATCGAAATTTCTTACACGACTGCTTCCTCGAAACTTTTAGACCAGCCAAGAATTGTGAGTCGCTCACTACATGTCAGGTAAAGGGACTTGGAAAAGACGAAGAAATTGTCTGGCCAATTCGATTCATGCTGCCCATTGCAAAGCATCCGAGTTATTGGTTTATCTCACGTCATAACTTGACTATTTGGAGAATTTCGCATAGTCGACTCGTTCCATGGATAGTTTCCCTGGTTGACCAACAAATTGCAACATTTGATTTCGTTTGGGATACAAGAGCTTTTGAATACCTTATGCCTATGTATGGTATAAGTAAATCCACACTCATCCCGGGTCATATACCTACAGAGCAGTTCCATACCACGACGAGATGTAGTAAAATTCACAAATGCTTCTCAACAGACGGGCCGAGATGCCTTACTTTCTCGAAGTTAGTGTGTCTTTTATGTGACATCTTTTATCTTTCCACCCCAATTGCAGATCTTTGTCTGCCTTCCTGCCCATGGTTTGAGGCGGTAGTTAACTTGTAACTGGCTGGCAAGACAGAAAGTGAAGTGCTTGGAGGGATTTTACTTTGAATATCCACAAATTTCCCTGTTGTTTGTATTTGTTGCTTTGTTCTTGTGACGTAGATCCCCTGCAACACCTGAATGTTGTAGTCCGTCAACATTAGCGTCATGTTATTGAACCTTACAGGTTGCGTGAAGGCAAGTTTTTGCTTCAACTTATGCTTGATTTCTGACTCTGAATCGTTTTCCAGGTTTACCTCAAAGGTACCATGATTCAGTTAAAGCAATACAGCCAGGACTTCCGTTGTTTCTCTACAACTATACAACACGTTGCCTTCATGGAGTATTTGAGGTGTAAATCTACACTTAAGTTTCTTATTACATGGTCATGTCACGTTTTGCTTATCGCTTGCTTTGAACGTTCGCTTTGGAGCTACATATAATCGAAAGGTAGTTGTCGACAGATCTCTGTCTTTCAGTTTTTCCATTAAAAGCAGCTGGATGATTGCTCAACCACTCATGAACGTATATTTGTGTGAAAGGCTTCAAGTGATGGTGGCTTGAACATCGAGCCTGATGCATGGGGAGAAAACAAAGAATCGCGTAAGAACGGAAGACAATCAGTATCTCGATTTCCCGCCCAGGTTAGTAATTCTACCGTGGTCGGAATATGATGCTGAATTGTCAAGCACTGCCTGCTTGTGTAGAAGTTGATGCGGCGACTTCGAATCACTGCAAGTACTGGAAGCGACTGTTGTGAGCTAGCTCGATCCTGTGCGCGCTCTAGAAATCAGAGCACTGGGCACTCAGATATCCAATTATCTTGTGTTTTACGGGTATTCGCTGGTAAATTTGAGCTTGGGGTAAAAGGTTAGGGAACTGAAGGTTGATTTGTGAACTTTGCAGGTTCGAGTGCGGTGGCGAGAAGAACGTCCACCTCTTGAGGAAGAGAGGTTTCGACCTGTACTATATCACTACGATGGACCTAAGTTCAGACTGCAGCTTTCAGAATCTGAGGTAATATTTAATTTTGGGAGGGGCTAGTTATCCCTCACTCAACGCTAATTATCCCTCACCCTCAGAAGAGAGATATTTGATTGGTCGATATCATGCAAGGACAGTCCAAACGGGCAATATAGTCTTCGCGGGCAGAGGGAAACGGGGAGAAGTAGTGCTAAAAATTGAAAGATTAGTCTAGGATGAGGGATAATTAGCGTTAAGTGAGGGATAACTAGCTGCTCCCTTAATTTTCAGTGATTCGGAAATGGTCGATCTGCCGTTGTATGACCTTTTGTTAGTTGCCGGTGGGAGGTCGTGTTTCGCATCCTTCGACTGATGTTCGGTGTCTGGTGTTCATGATTCAGGCCCAAGAGCTCCTTAAATTATTTGGGGCTTCACCAGTAAGAAAAGTTGTCGACGACGTCCAGGAAGACAATGGTGGTGAATGGGAGAAAGTGAAAACGAAAAGTAAGGCAAGTCGTAGTTTTCGTGCACCCCCTACGAAGGGATCCACTTCTCCTAATGCAACCGCCGGGAGGAGACGGGGATCAGCTCAAAATGGGACCAGCGGCAATGGAATTGCAAATGGTGGCGGGAATGGGTCACTTTCTAACATCAGCAACTCGATGCATGAGGCTGTCAGCCGAGGAAGAGATCGTGACAATAGAGTAGACAATTCACAGAGATGGCGATCCGATTCTGATTCCTGGAGCGGTTCTTCGAGTGCCGGAACAGCAACTTCCAGTTGGGGCTCACACGAAGATGAACGTCCAAAGAAAGGTTCCAGGGACAACGGTTGGGCTGCTGAGGCGAACGGAGTTGGTGGTGAAGGCCACGATTGTGTTGACGGGGTAGCATCCTCGAAAAGCTATACTCAAGTGAATGGCAGTTATGACAGTGACAACAAGGTTGAAATTAGGTTTATTGTAGACTCAAATGAGTCAAATGTGTCAAGCAGTTCTCTTAGTGCAGAAGCTCGCGCTGCCGCAGCTGCTCGGTCCGGATTTGTATCATATAGTGCTGCCTTGAAGTCAGGTATGTTGGCGGCAGCGGCAGCTGCAGCCGAGAATGGTTGTAGTGATGGCCATTCCTCTGTAGTTCCAGAAATTGGAAATTCTGCTCAAAGCAGTGGGAGCAGTAGGAGCACTCGTGTCTCTAGTAGCAATGCTGCCGCTGCTGGTTCTGTCCCCACATCGAGTCCTAGAGCAAGCTCCAAAGGAGATTCATCTGTCGACAGGATAGAGTCCGACAAGGAAGGAATATCACCTGCTGTCCCATTCTTCGTCCTCAATATTGGGTCTTACTGTGAAGCAGCAGTGTCTGGTAATCAGGTGAAAGTTGGACAGCCGAGCTCAGTTGAGAAAGGAGGCTCAGAGGCCAGGGCTGAACATGGATCGAATAGAGGAGAAGCCGAGGGCAAAAAAGTTGAGAAGATGCAGCCGTGGGGCAAGCCTGCGATAGTGAAAGCCGCAAATCTTGCAGAGGTTCTTAGTGGAAGCCAGTCAGTCGTGGCAGACAATCACGCGGCTGGCTCCAAGGATACCAGTGAATTGACTACCACGGCAAAAAAGTCTGGTAAAGAAGGGTTGCGAAATGGAGTTCCTGATGGTGAGAATGGAGATAGCGATGTCCACCATCGTTTCGGAAATTTTGAAGCCAAGGAGGTTTCTATCAAGCCTCTAGAGACCGTTGTGAGGAAAAATGTTTGGCAAGGAAACGAGAGTGCAGTTTTGCGTCTCTTGCATGATCCAGACCCCGCAGTGAACAGTGGTTCAGTGAATGGAGGTACAAACGGACACAAGCTTGAACCAGAGCTGTACAGAGGGAAGCACGACAGAGTCAAATCGCCGCAGCCACATGTCCAACATCCAAATGTCCATCCTTCGATGGAAAGAGTAGTACATGTGCAGTCACCTCCTTTAGATGGCCAACTAGCTCAGTGGCCTGATCAGTCATCAAGTCCGTCTGGTTCGGTGCCCACACATGTGCCGTACCCAAAGGGAAGTCAGCAACAGGGACCTCTTTTCCAGCAGAACAGATCTGGTCATGAACGACGCCAACAATATGATAACCATAAACATGATAAACATCAGGAGGACAGATCCCATTTCAGGAAGCAGCAGATTCATCCTCAAGAGCATTCCCAACATCCTACTCCCATGATGCATGCACAGCAGCGTCAACTTGGACAAGGTTTAATGCCCTTGCGGATACCGACGCCTCCTCCGGGGATGCAGCAAATACATCATCACGCCATTCTTTCACCTGCCCCTCTTTACCGAGATCGTTCTCGCGGTCGAAATGGCAGTGGGAACTCTGAGAATGCTAATGGCTTGGCCTATCGTCCCGTTAGCAGAAATATGATTGACGGGGAAATGGGATTACAGAGCCCCATAGGCCCCAACGGCTGGACTTTGCAGACTCCTGTCCTCTTGCCGTATGTTTCTCACATTACTGGCAACTTTTCGTTTTCTATACCACCTCCCCAGATGCTAGGAAACGCGGAATCTCTGCACGCCGAAATATTGGAATTTGCCCAAGCATCCAGGCCGTCAGCTGAAACGCGAGTTCATGCTGAGGCAGCCGTGGAATGCGTTCGAGATGGCGTCAAACGACTTTGGCCTGAAGCTGATGTTGAGGTGCGTGGCTTGGTGGTTGCTAATCTTGGTGGTTTTGTTCCTTGTATGACGTGTGTTCCACAATCGAAGCCACGAGATTGGATCAAACGGGTTCGAAGTACCTTGTACTTTTTGGAGACTTAGTAGACAGGTTTTGCGTTACAGATATATTCTTACGTATTTCTCGGTTGTTGCAGGTGTTTGGCTCCTTCGCAACAGGTCTTTGCCTCCAGCACAGTGATGTTGATGTCGTAGTTGTAGATGCACCAACCCCACCTGATACCCCTGAGATTGCTGCCCTGTCTGGAGCAAGGTTGCTCTGTCCCTTAATTAGGGCTCTTTCTGCTTCTCTTAAAGACTATGAGTGGTGTGAGGGTATAAACACCATTGAGACTGCCTCAATGCCTGTCATTAAGCTGCGTTGTAGACCTGTCAAGGCGAATGAATTTTCTTCGGAGCCACCAGTAGCTATCGATGTTACAATTGGTGGAAGAAGGTCAGAGAATTTTGCTGGAGTGAGTCAAGAGAACTCGCGAAAGGAAGCGCAAGGAAACAAGCCCTTGAATGCAGCATTTGAAGCAGCGAGAAATGCTCACAATGGAGCAGCTGCAAGGGAATTTGTCATAGAAAAGCTCCGACAATTTCCAGCACTGGCACCTTTGGTAGGTTATAGAACTACGTCTCTCACATTGTTTTTTTCTACAGGTTATAGGTTTTTCTGTAAGATCGTAGCGTGTTGTCTTTGCTCATGTGGAAGATGATTGTGTTTCATATGATTCTTGGGTATGTGCTGACTAGATTATGACGTTGCAGGTTCTTCTTATGAAGTCATTTTTACAGCAGAGGGGTCTCAACGATGTTTATTCAGGAGGTCTTGGATCTTTTGCATTGACCCTGATGCTCGTATTCTACCTCGAGGTAATTTTTTGGAAGTTGAAGCGCATATCAACTCTGCTTTGTGGAGATTATGCTTGCCTTCTTCATAATATGCCTTCTTATGATCTGTGAACTTTCGACAAATCTTAAGCTTGTGAACACCTTTGATAGACTTTTTTCTTGTATGAAAACAGGTGCAAATTTTTGTTTTTTGTTTGTTTGCTCTCTTGCATATGCACTCTGTCTGAATAGTGAATTATTCAGCTTTACATGGAGACACAACGCTTCCGATGTGTCTGAGGGGAGAACTGTGTCAGATTCGGAACAGTTCAAATGACGAGATGGTAGATATCAGAGTTCCATCCTCTGACTTTTCCCTCAATTCAGAGATAACATTCTACATCAGAGTTGCCCTTGCGAGGATGACATTAATTTATTGTCGAACATAGTTATCGGGCAGTGTCAAGTTTGAAAGCTATCAATACTGAACTTCAACAGACCTCTTACATCTAAGCTGAGAGAATCTACTCCTCTTCCAATTAGCTCTCCTTATGCCTCCTCCTTGACCTCATCTTACTTCCTCACTCTGACTCTATGAGAAGTACTAGCAGTGTTGTGCCGTGGAAGTGAGATTTTTGTTCTTCAGGCTACATATTTGAACACTGACGAGTATATGATAGCCAGATCTTATCGAAGAGTCAGTAGTTTTCATTTTAGTTTTCCCTTTGCTGAGGCTCTAGTTATCTTTGCAGAGGATGCCTATCTCTTGTGGTGTTCCTCAAGATCTTCTTCTTCTAACACGTGTTAAGTCACCGTACTCGGCTAACCTGGAGGCAAGTGCCTTCCTGTAGACACTTGTACTCTCTGGCAGAGAGTGATAGCAACTTCCTGCCCAGTGCGTGAGATCTATGTCTTTCCAGTCTCTAAAGGCAATTGCTCAGGATTACTGTCCATAATTCAACAAAGAGTCAGTGAATTCAATTTTAGGTGTTTCTTTGCTGAAGTATTTGTTGTGATTGCAGCGGGTGCCTATTTCTTGTGGCGTTCCCCAAGATCTTCCTCCTCTAATCCCTATCAAGTCACCGTCTTCACTTAATTTGGAGGCAAGTGTTTTTCTGTCGACACTGTTCGACCTGGGCAAAGCAGTACTAGCTCTTCTCTGCTCAGCCCATGGGAACTAAAAGTTACAAGCTATACAGGAAACTCTGGAAGTACACGTTAAATCCAAGCATCAACATAGTGATTATTAATTTGATCTTTGTTCGCTGAAGTATTTGTTTTGATTGCAGAGGGTGCCTATCTCTTGTGCCGTTCCTCAAGATCTTCCTCCTCTTATTCCTATCAAGTCACCGTCCTCAGCTAACCTGGAGGCAAGTGCTTTATCTGTCGACACGTCCCGATCTTCATCAGGAGTAGCGGAGTCAGTAGCATCATCTGATGACGACTCGTCAGACTCATCCGTGTTGACGACCACGTCAGTGTCCAGCCTTGCTTCGCTGGAGGTTCCATCTATTCAAGGTAGTTCTTGTGGAGGAGATGAAGTTGCATCACAAGCTGGTCCCTCAACTGGAGAGCTTCTTTTGAGAAGAGCAGGGGGTATGGTCGAGGAATTGCTGGCCTCGATGCAGTCAGTGTCTTCACCAAATCTGGGTACTCTATTGATTGGTTTTCTGCACGTGTTTGGACAAGAAATTGATTTTTCACGAGTTCGACTTGTCCTAAAGGTAATTTTATTCAGTATTTTTAATGTTAGTATATGATGTTTCCTTTTTCTTACAAGATGGTTAGATAGAGGGTTAAGGATCAAATGGACTAACAAGCCATTATACATGAACCTTTTTCTCATAACTCGAAACTGCTCCTTTCCTATGTTCACTCTAGGAAGCTTTTTTCTAGCAACACTACTACACGTCTTATGGGCCTCACTTCCAGGTTTTGAGTTTCAAGGTGTTAGGCGTCCATTTCTTTGTTGAGTATTATCCAGTAGAGAACTTTGATGATGTCGTATATCAAGCGCAAACAGGTTTGTTTTTGTTTTAATTATTTGTTAATCTAGCCTGATTTTCTTGGTTCTTTTATGTGAATGGACTACATTCCATGCTCTCGATATGTATTGTTGCAAGCGGAGAACGTTTGTAGATTATCTCTTAGCTCAATTGTAAATGCTCTTTGCCTCCACCATCTATGTTGCCCGTGATGAAAATTTTTGCTTAGACCTACTGTTTTTTCAGTTTTTTAATGTGTTATAGGCTCTGAAGCTGTTCAAAGTTAAGATTCAGGGTGTGAAAGAAGGAAAGTTGCTCTTATATATCATTTATCCTTTTAAAAATTTGAAAGTTGTCCCTCTCAGGGAAAGAATGGCAATCCTGGAGGACTCTTCTGCCATGACAAAATGGCCAGGACCTTGCCTTTATGGATTGATGATCCTTTACGGCCTGATGCAATCATAGGGGCAGGCTCCTTCAACATCTGGCAAGTACAGGTACGGGAAGCGTGTGATCATCACGGACTTTTTGCAGTTTGCTTAATTGCCGTCTCTTAGTGCTAGAGGATGACAGAGCAAAAGTCAGTTACCAATGCCACTGCTTTGCCTTACATCACAGATTTTGTGTAGGTCTAAGCTTCCACCCAAGATATGTTTGCCGTTTGTGTTAGAAATCTGGACTTCTCCACGTACATCTTTTCACGGTAAGTTTCTCCGCTAATAATTATCATATCATTGTTTATCTGTTTCAGGCCTCCATGCGTGACATGCTGTATGCGATTACCCGGCCACTATCTGTTCCAGGTACTCCAGTGCCAGGGACGCCAGTTGAGATAACTGACAGGAACGGAAAGGGACCTGGTCGAAGGCGACCTTTACCTCTTTTGGACCAAATATTTTTCATGAATGTCTCATCCCCAGTACCTTAGGTGATACTTCCATACATGTTTCTGAAGATAATGTGTTGCTACTTGCTTCACACACGAGAAAATGCCTGTCGGGGGAGGCAACTGAAGGAAGCAACTGCTGTCGGACATGAGGATATTACCGGATTTGCACGCAACAAGACAAGTCAAATGTTGCTTGGATTTCTTCAGTTTTGCACTAATGGTAGAAGTGGACACCAGAGGGTATCAAACTCCAGGCAAGGATTTTGGAGGAGCCCTTGGTTGTGATCATATGGCATCTCGGCCCCCATCTCGCCCGATTCTCCCCGTCCTGGTGGAAATCCATCCGGACGGTCGATGTATTCATCTATGCTCCGCTCTGCTGGGAATCCACCTGGACGGCTTAGGTTATGCTCGATTCCCCAGCTTACTAAGAGATGTAATTGTGTATCTACCGAGGGATATGAACGAACGACTTTTGTACATGACCCACTCTCGACCCACCGGTCCGAATTTTTAAAGGTTGAACTTGCATCAACTCTTGATAAGCGAGATGATTCTTCCAGCACGGGGACAAAAAGTCAGATCATCTCTTGTGAACATAGTTAGCAGGAATGGAGTGGCTGGCTCTCCATTATATGAGACGAGACTATTTTTTTTAATGCTCTGAGCCTTTGTAAGGAAATTTTGTCTGCTATTCTATTAGAGACATACGAAAACGCTGAAACATATGAATTTAATGTGTTGTCAGTTCTAACAAGCTATTGATTGTATCTTAAGTTTCATTGAACGCCTTTGAGCTTATCTCCGATTTCAAGCCCTGTAAACTGCCGTAATGTGTAATCTGCTCTCAAGTGTTATTGACCGTGAGCCACAGGGTCAACTTGCCATTGTTATATGTACATTCATGAAGAGTTTCTCCGGAGGATATGTTCATGTCTTATGTGGACCTCGTCATAGCAGTGAAATGGCATGCGCGAATGTAAGACACATGTTCGTAATCGGTGGTAATTTTTATTGACTGTCTACAACAGATTGGAGAAGCAATTAAGTAGACACTATGAAGTTCATCTTGTTTTCCTCAGTTTTTGAATAGATTACTTTTCATCTTCCGTAAAACTTGCTGCCTGAACTCATCACTCTAGACGGTAGTCTACAGATACTCATCACAAGCTTCGTTTCCACGGGATTGTGAACATAAATGCCAGAGCCTCCCGTAAGATGCCAGAGCCTCCCATCTGCGCTTTTTTGCGATATTTCGGCTACCTCGCCATCTTCGAATTCTGAATTTCGGAACGAGCCCCAAAAAAGTTGAACGTTCTTAAGTCGGGGAAAATTCAATGTATTGAAGGGATAATCCGGCAGTACCGAAGTTGAGACGTTCAACCTACTTAGTGATGACGTAAGATCGATCCTGGCACTATTCTCAATTTGGCATACAAAGAAGGTTGGGTTTCGAGTTGTAGAAACCCGATGAGGAAGCCTCTGAACATTAGGCGTTCTACTTAGTGATGACGTAAGATCGATCCTGGCACTATTCTCAGTTTGGCATACAAAGAAGGTTGGGTTTCGAGTTGTAGAAACCCGATGAGGAAGCCTCTGAACATTAGGCGTTCTAAAAATAGATGCCCCTAATGAGACATCTATGTGTAGAAGCCTAATGTCCCTAATTTCAAATCTATTAATATTCAATTTCAAAACTATTTCTCGAGTAATTTTAGATTGAAAAATTTCCGAATGATTGGAATTGCAAAACGTTACAATAGATAAAAGATTTCGTACACTTATTGGATTCATCGATTCCAAATATAGCGTTATTCGAAAATGATTTCTCAATGTTGAAATTCAAAAAGTATGTTTTTAACATGTTACTTATTTAATTTTTCTCTAGAATGATTTTTTTAATGCAAAAAATATGATCTGTTGGACTAGTTGAAACAACAAAATTTTTGCTTCAAATACATGCAAGAATAATTGGCGTGATTGCACATAACCTTGTCGATCTGCTGTCTGTTACTTTAGTTCATAGGGACCGAGATCGAGAGAGTCATTTAGAAAATGGTGGATGTAAACGGGCAAGATACATACATAAGAATTCATGGAGTGGATTGAATTTAGTCCCCCAATTTGGGATTCAGTCAAATCTGAAATAGATAAAGAAAATAGATCTATATCAGCAGAGTTCATGGAGTGGATTAAACTGAGTCCCCAAAATTTTGATTGAGTCAAATCTGAAATAGATCCACTCTAATGTGGGCCTAATGCTACAAAAACAGAGAGAAATTTCTTTAGATCTGAAATTTCTTATTTCAAATTATTTTAATGAGAAATTCTAGTTAAAATTGATAGAATAAATTTCACATAGAATTCTTTTTCTAATAGACTTTATTGAAACTGAATCACTACTTTAACTAAAATTGAATTAAACTCGATAGAATGTTTTTTTTAAACAATGATGCTTAATAGTGATTAATTTCATTGAAGATTTATGCCTAATATCGTTCGATTAGTCACAAATAGACATATACCAAACCTACAAAGGAATGCCATGAGAGAAGGTTCTAAGTAAGTTTCTGTCTTTCAGAACGTACAGGTCAATATAGTAACAGTCAAGACAGTCAATTTGGGGTAATGCCTTTTATGTTCACCTTCTATCGCCCACTGACGAGAATTCCACACGTGGTGAAGTAGGTTTTTAAGCACCTGTTTGATACGAAGGATGTCCACATGGGCCAACTTCTCCCAGTTCTCCCCACAAAGTGAACGTGATTGAGATCCTAGCAAAATGAGTTTCAGCTTCGGAAAAGTGTTAACCAGGGATTTATGTGAATGCCATCAAGATTGAAGCTCACGACCAACATGAATGTGATTCGAAGACCAGAATCTGCGCAGATGCCAACTCCATGAATACTTGCAGCTCACTAAATTGAGTCGAAAACCGGCGACCGTTCCATTGCAAATGATTCAAACTGTCCCATCCCATAACGACTTCTGACAGCAATCCAAGTGAGTACTATTCTAAGTAGGAGATATAATGTTCTGTGTCCCAACTATGATAACTCTTATGAGGACATGTTATAGTGCATTTGCATGTGCGAAAGAACTTACAAACCTTGCTTCCAATATCCTATTGCATGTAAGATGTCATAATTTTCCCTCCATATCTTGATTGAAAGCCAAAGTTAACATTGATGGAAGATAGTTAATTTTCACAAAGTAGTGGACAATGAAGCTGCTCTCTATTGTCTAGTAAGAATATCTCATCCAAAAAACTATCGCAAGCATGTGATTGTGATAGTGAATCAGATTCTAGTCATAACAGGAAGATGGAATCGTTAGAGCGATAAATTTCATGAAAAAAACAGACGACTGAGCTGATAGCGACAAAGATATCAGCTCAATGGATGAACAATGTTTTGAATGAACAATTAAATTCTCATTTATCAAGTGGTTTTAAGCACTAGTTTAAATTGGTAGAAAAATCAAGAAAGAATTCTCAAAATTAGAGCAAGAAACCAATAAGAAAAATATTCAAGTTTTTTTGCTTCTTATATATGAGAAATATTTTCTTGTAAAATGTAAAATGTTCAGACTTCAAAAAATTACATTTTCATTTTTCTTAAAATGAAAATTTTCATTTTCATTCTAAACAGATTAAAGTCCAAAAGATTTTACTCATGAATATATTTCTTAAAACCTGTGAAGATAACCTAAACCGCCTCCATATATATCCTGAAAAATTCTCTGCAACTATAAATAGATGATTTCTTCCTGTTTGCATGACCACCAATAAGTTTGATGTAAGCTGCACGCATACGCCTAGCCGCCTTTGTAAGAGTTAACTGATTTTGAAAAAAACACCATCAAATAAAGATAATATTCGTCACATCTTTGGTCGAAAATCACATTAAAATGTGATAGATTTCTTTAATGTTAGTGGGTCATGAGTTTAGAATTTTTTCAAAGACTTTGAAGTGTGAGTATTCGAGCTCAAAATTGGCCTTATTATACTGGATTACATACAAAGTACAAGATCATTACAACCATTTTTGTAGTGCAATATGATCACAATAATCTTGCAATATAAAAAGAATTTGTTAAGATTCAAAATATTACAAGCTAAATTTTTTTTTGAAACTTGAATGTTTTATAATAATCTTTTTCATGAACTTACAAAATTATGCTCGACCTATTTTCATATATTAACAACTATTAAATTAATTATGGATAATTTTAATCCAGATAATTTGAATTCTGAATGTTTGCTTCGCATTATTTGAGTAGGCAAGACCTAGCTTGCCCTAAACATTGTATCAATGTTTTCAGTAAACCATATAATCTCGTGGACTAATCAATGGCAAACCATATATTTTTCACACCAAAATCTATGTATTTATTGGTTATATGATGTTCTCGTGAATCTTCAATCCATAATTGATATTAGAGCAAAATTTCTAGACAAGTTTTTTCAAATTCAGTGTTTTGAGAAATCCATTAGCGATTGATATTAGAGACGCGGGTGCAATTGTGCAGGTTGCTTTCTTGACCAAGGATCTATGGTTGAAATCAGATGATAGATCTAGTTTTCGCTTTCTAGTCATGAAATCTTAAGTCATTTGAATGTTTGAAGCTTGAGTACACTTGTGGTGCTTGATTGATAACATTACTTCCTCTAGCATATATAGGCAGAGTAGTGAGCATTTGGTAGAAGACAATGAACTTTTTCGCCATTTGGTAGAAGACAATGAACTTTTTCGCCATTTTTGGCAGACAAGAATATGAATTTTAAGCTTTTGGATTCCAATATACTTCTTTTTTGATGTTGTTTGTGTTGGAATAGCCATTCCTCTCTTGAAGTTGAAAGAGATGAAAACGAGTAGGTGTTTTGAGCTACATCAAAGTACGAGTCTGAATTCAAGTGCGATTGTGGGTCTTATCGATTTGCATTTATGCTCCAAATTTTTGGCGCATGATTTGTCTTGAATCAAAGATGGTGTACACTTTGTGTCATTCTTGAGTATAAAATGAATTGAGGGTCTTAAATTTTCTGAGATGATCTTTATTGTCTTTCAAAACCTGCTTGTCATACAGCAACTTTTTGTGCGGATTTCTAAGCTAAAATGGATTAGAGAGCTTATTGTAGACTTACAATTCTAAGGATTTATTTGAAGATATACATAGTGATGTGTGAAAATCTTCTTTAAAAGTTTCTATGTTTCTAAATTATTTTACTATTAATCTATTATTGATACATAGTCAAGATTTATGTGACTTTATCTCTCACACAAAAATTTGAATCATTTAAAATTTTTTAAACTTGGATAGTCCAAAGTAAAATTAGAGAAAAGTTGTAATATGTATTTAAATATTTCAAGTTTTAAAATTCCAAGTTTTAAATTTTGGTAGATCAAATTGAACAAAAGATGAAATATTTACACATATTACGTAGATAAAAACAGGAAGTATACTTCCGAATAGTTTTGAAGTTATTACAAAGAGTAGGAGAGTATTAATCATATCATCACAATTTATACTTTCCAAAAGAGTGTTGTTTTTGAGATTTTCAATCAAATTGTGTTGAAAAAGTTGCACATGATGTTGAGCCAAATGTTAATATTGCAATATATTTGATAAGCCTTTTTATTTCTATGCAATTTTTTTTTTCACCATTTCATCTTAGACAAAAAGATATGGCTGATAGTTATACATGTAAGAAATGTATTTTTCTTGAATATGCTAATGTTGTGAAGGTTGATATACAATGATTTTTTCTAAAGATTATATTTGATAATATTACAAAATAAAGAATTTGCTAGTTTTTTTTATCAATAAAATAATTACTGATCATAATTGGTAATAAAAATTGGTTAAATAAATCTGATCAATTAGAAAATTTTTGTCATGGTAGTGAGCACTATATCTAAGTTTTTGTTTTGTTACAAACATCTAAGATTAGATTAAGTGAAGAGTTAAAAATATCTAAGCATCAATGTTTCTAATGCAAAATAGATAAAAAGTTGGTCACAAAATTTCTTTATTCATTATTAAATTAGTGTAGAAGAGCTTATCAAGTGTCGTGAGATTTTAGGAAAATTCTATTTAAGAGCTTAGTGTTTTAGGTAGTCTTATATGAAATCAAAGTTTGGGATTCTAGTTGTAAGAAGACAAATTTAAAGTTTGCAAAGAGTATGCAAAAGTTATTATTCTAAGAAAAATTGGGTGTAAAAAATCAAACTCCATATGCTATTATCCTCGTGGAAATAGGTTGTCTACCTGTAGAGATTGAAACTCTGTATTTGAGCATCACATATATCAAAAGGGTGAGATCTCTTGATGCTTTTCTCTTTTTTTTCAAGCTTTGTATTTTTTTCCACTGCATGGTTAGCGCATGTGGTGACTTGGTATTTGAAGTGAAATATGACAAAATGCAATTGAGAATGACAACAGAAGCATTGCTCGACCGGCTACAAAATTAGTTTCTCAACATTATTTGGAGTAGATTAGGCACAAATATGCAGTTTTATCAATTTCATGTTATTCTATGCTTGTTTATTATAAACAAGACAATTTATTTGTGGGATTATCTACATCATATTATTGCTCGGCACAAAATTGGATCTCACATGCTTGGAATCAAAGAGATGGTATGATTCAAAATTGATAGTAGTGAACTTACTTGTAAGTGATGTGATAGAGGAAATATTCAGAAAGAAAGAATAACATATATTTGTTACATGTCATAGGTATTAAGAAATCATACTAGCTCATAAAATAGAACTGGAGAATTTCTATAATTCATTGTAACTAGTGCATTGATTTGGATTGTTATATTAGAGACTTCGTTGTTCTAGTGCTCTTTGCACTACCTATGGATTTATCTTTTCCCGGGCGTATTGTGTTATTCAACCTTGTGACACTTTGGATCCCCCGTGCTTGATCCATTTGTCATTTATATTTCTTCTATATAAAATCTTCACATACCTCTTCTTATTTACCTTGTAAAACCACCAATGTTAAACAACTTATCAGATGGGTTTGCTCTCAACTACTAGTCGTGCATTAGTTTTTTAGAGAATAAAATATAATGGATAAAACGAAAATGACGTCCCGCCCCAGAACTTCCTCCCATTGGCCCTCGAATTCATCAAAACGTATCACCACCGAGCATGATTTCTTCATCCGAGCCTAAACTGAACGAGGAGACTTTTATTGCGGTCCATTCTGAATCGTTGCACAAAAGCACGGAAGCACAATCGGTCCGAATCACGTTGTGGACGAGGGGACCAACTGCGACGACGGTCCGAGCCGAATAATCGACTCACGAATAATTGGGATTGTGGACGCACGATCGGCGAGGCCCGAAGATGCAACAGATTTCGCTCGGTCTCGGCGGACGGCCGCAGCCCGCAGATATAGGCCGCGAGGGCATGGAACCAGGAGGCTCACATTGACGAGGAATATTGCACATGATTGCCAGGCACAGAAACCACATCCGGTGATCATATCTTGCCACCAGCACAATTAGATCCCGATGCTGTCTTTGGGCGTGGCGGAGAATGTGATTTGGAATTTCTTCCAGGGTTCGTCGACCATCCGTCGAACTCGTGGACTTTCTGTACAATCTGGGCCTTGTCCCGCACGCAAGACTCGCTCGGCGTGTGTGTGTGCAGACGGTACAGGAACGGCCTCCCCGTCTGCGAGCCCTAAACCCTGACCTTCGCCTTCCGCATGCTCTTGGCTGCACCAACTCACCTCTCACTCGACGCAATGTTGCATTTCGTCCTTTGAGCATAGATCCGACATGATGTGCACTGCGTTGCTTTTGGATACTTCCTTGAACACAAATGTACTTAAGTATCTTGTCATATCAGGCCTGCTCTAGCTCCATTTGGTTCCAAATGATGGACGGAGAGATACTTTCAGCAGATGAAAGAATCCGGTTTCTCTCACTTAGGGTTTTACGCAAGTAGGTGGAATATAACCTAACCAGACCTTGCCTCGCCTTGCCTGTTGGGATATCGGGAAACTAGCAAATATGAAAGCTCTGTTACTTTATTGACTTGATCCTACTTTCGAGGCGTAGCTAATTTAATGTATTCGTCACATGATCTCCATTGCTTCTCGTGAAAGTAGAGCTTCACTTATTATTGTTTTTGATTTATCATTGTGAGACAGGAACTTTTGTTTCCCGCTCGACTATCTCGTGTCGATAGTATCGATTATATTTTTGTTTTCGTTGGTTGGATTTGGTCTATTCTGGGATTTTGGAGCCCACTGTTCTTTTGCAGACGAAAGGGTTACCGAGTAACTTTTGCTAGTTAGGAGGTTTGTTGTTCACGAGGCCTTACTTTATGTTCCTATCTTTTCTAAGTGCTTCCCTACGTACCTTTCCGGCCCCATACTTGTACACTTTCCTCTCTGCTTTAATCAACTTGCTCGAGATGCGATTAATTCGAGTTTGAACTTGCACACGATGCAATCAAGTCAAAATTGAAATTACACGCGTTTCACCATCTCCCAGGAATGAGATAATCGGTCTTGCCCTCTGGAGTTCCATGCGTCTCCTTCGTCCTCTCGAGTTCAAACCGTCGCTTGTACATGACCTGATGTCATTGTGGTCCTGATTGCAGTCCTGATTTTTGCGCTTGGGGCAATGAGGTGAAACCGAGACGCGTCAATTGCTGGTTGAAGACTATTTCCATTTCCAGTTCGTTCCTTGAGAGTGTCTCGTGCGTCACGATGCGAACCCTAGTGCGAGTAAATTGGCTTGATGCTCAACAGTCCAGTCACTGTGGCCACGCAGGACTTTCGGAGCCCTGGTGGGTTTACTTTTCTTTATGTTCCTATCTTTTAAGTGCTGCCCTACGTACCTTTCCGGCCCCTTACTTGTCCACGGACTTCTGGTAGGAGTGTCTAAACGTAATAAGTTGTGTAACCTTGTGTAAACTAAATAACTGAAAATATTCACGATTTACCATGGACATATGATATATGGCAGATCCAAAGGCTCTATTAGTCCTATTCATTTAATATGAACACTTATAAGTAGAAATCTCCATAGCAAGTGAAGATCGAGGTCAAATGAAATCTCCATAGCAAGTGAAGATCGAGGTCAAATGAAATCCCTACGCAAAACTGGAACTCCAGCCCTCCAGTGTTGCAATGTATCTCAAAGGTACGGAAGGACCAAGTGCTTTGCAGTCGATATTCAAGACACTCCTTCTGATTCAGTAGCATACACCGAACTACCTTGCCATGTTAAGTCCAGGCAACCCATAACTGCTCGCTGGTGCGGTAATCCAAGCTAACTCCATCATGCTATCACCTCAATTAGAAACCTGAAAAGCAATCTGAGGCAACCCTCCAACTCCAAGGAATTGCTGTTAAAGGTTAAATGCAGAGTTGACTTTAGCCCACCATCACTGAAATAGAGAAGACCACTTGTCCAGGTATGATGATTGGAAATACGAGATCCACACAGGTACACGATTTCCAACTGTAAGTAATTTCCAGCCTAGGCCCTAAGACCGAACTGCTATCTGTCACGTCTTGCAGATACATCCTGAAGGGACGTGTAATGCTTTAAAACATTCCCAACAGTAGGACCTTCCTCCAATCTGATTAGGTATAATCCGTAGATCGTGATCAATGTTGTGCACTGTACAGCTGATCTGATCTGATCGAACACTGATCTGATCGTTTGTTCCTTCCAACTCCTGGACTAGCTGACCTCGAGGCGAGCAATTCCGGGTCCGCAACAAATCGATTGAGATGAGATGCGACGACAGCTGCACTTCGAATATGAATTATGTGTTTTATAATTCGTCGTCCTCCCCTTCCTTCAGCACCCTCAGCCAATACCCGTTTTGCTGGTGGGACGGCACCTAAGCCTGGCGATAGCGAAACTAGCGGCAATGGTGTCGGAGTCTCCGAGTCTCCACGGGCAGCTTCGTGCCCGGGTCCAGCGGTCTCTCCACAATCTCACTGCTGCTGTACCTGCCTAATTTTCATTGCTGCCTATACTACAAAACCCCGGACCCGCATGTCGTCCGTCTGTCAACCAAATTTCTGCGAACTATCTACTATTCCAGAAGCAGCGACAGATGCATAAGATCATAAGCCTTTCCTGTCCTCCCCACTCTACTCTACAGTTGGACTATTCTCCACTGAAAGTCTACCACGTATTAATGAAGGAGCTGGGATGCTTCAATTCTTCAAATTCAAATAGGTGTCAGAAACACAACCAGCTGCTTCTGTTATGGCTCAAGAGCCATTAAAACGCGATTTCGTATGTAAATTCACCGGTCTTTGGCAAACTTCTGCAGACCCGGTGCCATCGATCAACAGATCGAAGCCACCAGGAACTCAACGTGAAGAAAACACTGCCTTGTGACTCGGCTGGATCGTGCCTTTGCCCGCTGCAATTTTGATGAGTCCCATACAGGGAAATACCAGAAAAAAATCTGCAGCCGCGAGAGCTCAGATCTCTTCACAGATTCCGCAACGACTCTTCTATGAACAGGGCGGAATTTCAATGGAATATTGTGTACCTCCTTCTACCCGAACACTGCGAGCGAGACCGGAAACGCTCTCACGTCTCACAAAGACACATGCTCTTAAAAACCAGTTTGCAGCATATCAAGACCTCAATTTGCTACCCCTCTCCGCTTCTAAACCTGAGAACGACGAGCTTCCCCTACAAACTGGTTGGTCAGAAGGAAAAAGAAAGGTCCGATAGCTAATCGATTTACTTCCTGTAGGCTCCAAAAATAACCAGCCGCATATAGCGAACCCACCCGGCCAGTCGCTACTAGTCCAATCAGTACGCCTCAATTCCTCTCACCACCACGCCCAGTACGCCTCAATTCCTCTCACCACCACGCCCAGGACGATTCCGACTCACTCGAATCTCATGAGCCTTTCCAAAAGCTCCGAATGAGAATTCAATCACGTGTGCCTACGGTAGGTATCGCCTAAGTCCACAATTTTGTTTTCTCCAGGACCTCCTCTGTGGATGCCGCAAAGGCTTCGAATCTCTATGTATATTCATGAAATCAAATTGGACATTCTACGAAAATTGCACATGTTACAAAGTTTTTACTGACTGGAAAATATTCTCACAAAATCGACACCAATCCTCACAAGAAATTATAGATTCAAAACCTACTCCAAGCAAATGCAACTTAAAAACCACTAAAACTATGACAATGATCGGAAAATGACACGAAAATGAATATTCTATTCAAATTTAATGAATTTTTGCCCCACTGGAAAACACCTGAATACCCACTGTAACAAAACTTTCATCTTGAGAATACAGGTCAACACTTGAATATACTACTCGTCTAACGCTACAGGTTGCACTCGAAAAATTCACGTATTTCAAATCCTCTTCGACTCTATAACTCTACAAAAAACTTAACCCTAGCCCAAAGGGTTCAATTCTCGTATATACTAGATGCAATATATACGAGAATACATGACGAATGACTTAAGAAATAATGTTCAGTTCAAGCTAAATGATTATCATCAAACTTTTAAACATATAGCTTTGATATTTACTATTGGTGACAAATATTCAAATTTCTGAAACTATAAACTGATTTTGACATATATACATTATTTTATTACATTATAGTTTTTCAATGAATAAGTAATGAATTTCTTACTATTCTGCAAAAAATAATCATATTAATGAATTAAATACATTAAACTTATAATAAATTTTCAAGCTAAATTTAAGATCTATTTAATTTCTTTCCATTGCACTGAAAGTTTAATAATAAATTAATTCATTAGTATTAAAATATGAGTGTTTATGTAAATTAAGTACAGTTATGATTGAATGTCAAAATATTCTAAAAGTATGCAACATTACATTTTCTTCTGATTAGATTATTGGATCTGACATATTTTATTTATTAATGTTTTTTTATTTATAAAACTTCTATATAGATGATATAGATTATACATATATGTTGTCAAAACTTCAATCAAACCCATTTGTTAATATTAAGATTTTTATTCCAATTTTGCGCATTTAAATTTTTTCACATAACATGAACAAAAATGAATTTGTGAAACTTATGTGTGAACTCATGAGTTATATATCAATCATAGAGACAAATTGCATATTTTGTGACTATCATATTTGTAGTGTTATGTATCATTTCATTTCATTTCAGGACATTTCAAATCATAATATTTTCTAGTTACACAATAATTTTTCCATATATATATATATTGAATTAAAAATTAATCAAAAAGGTTTTGAAATTGTTTCCATGTGGTTTTTATGTCAATTATGTTTGTGATGTTTGAATCAAAAAATTAGTTGGTCACACATGATTTGAGCGAATTACACCTTGAGTAGATTTAAAAATAATTCTATTGCTTTTCAGGATTATTTCTCATTGTACTTGAACTTCGAAGTAAAACAACAATGTCTAAATTTTGAACACATCAACTAATATCCGACATATACATCCAAATTCAAAGTAAGATATTGATGTTTAGATTTTGTATACATCATCTATAACTCATATTTTTCATATTCATCCAATAAATGATTGACTTTACTATATAAAATACAAAATATGCCACTTATTAAACATATTAAACACATGCACAACACATAAGTGATTGATTCAGTGTTGTATACTTAACAAAATGATATTTAAAAAAATCAATAACAACTTTCTTTGTTATAATCTAATATTTTATGTAAATATTAGATTTGCAATAATTTTTTTGGTTGGATGCAAATGTTTATTAAATTGTAGTTCCTATTTTGCTTCTTGGTCATGTGGTTTATGGATTTGTTATGTTTAATGCAATGATTTTACTTGTAGAATTTATTTGATGTAGAATAAAAAATTAGATCAAATTTTGATATTTATTGTGCAATCTTTTCTCGTCATTATTTTAATAATTATTTTTTATTCTCATTTTTGTATATTTTTTAATATATTATTTTTTAGATTATTAAATTTGTAGTCGTCGTGTCAAAGATCCGTGTGTTTGGTTGATAAAGTATATTTTGTTATTTGAAAATGACACATAAGCAATCCATGTGCTTTTTAGTGTTATTTTTTAGATCATCAATTGACTAGGAATGAAATGCAAAGTGAATTTGCGTTTTTTTTGTTTGTTGGTAAAATCTATATAGAAAGGAATATAGTCATTATGGTAATCTTTAAAAAGAGAAGAATAAACTACAACTTGATAACTAGAGAATAGATTATTGCACTTTTCAAACTCTTTAGTCTATTAGTGTGGTTGAAGTTTTTACTATAATCATGAATACATTCTAAATATTATGGGATTCTATTAGTCAGTTTTGCATTTGACTTCATTCACATTTGATTTGCTGTTTGAGTAAATATCACTATTAAACACTTAGAAGAAACTTTCAAGAAGAAACAAGAAATTTATATTTTAAGTTGGATTTGAAGGTACAAAAATAATCATGCAAAGAACAATTTGGAGACAATAACACTTTTAAATTTATGACATGAAATTAGTTGGATAGTGCTCTCATGTTTTAACTCCATAATCATGAAGGTTGTCTTGATGAATATTTTAAGATTGAAACAATAATGATGATACATCTATGATGATTTATGATTGTTTGTGTATTGTGATGTATCACGTGACAACCATATATATTTTGTTGCAATGGATATGTTCATGATATTTCAAATTTGCTATAATTTTATTTACTATTTCAATTTGAAGGTTTTATCATTATCATAATTTTAATAAAATCAAAACCTTCATCAATAACAAAGTCGAGATTAAATTTTTTACGAAAATTGTGTTTTTATTTATATTACTTTCCTTGATCACCGTGGTAATGGACTTGCGATAAGAATGTCTACTTAAGGTGATGAGATCGAGTTCTACTCAAACATAAAAATTAAAACTACGTTGGTGTTTTTATTTTTATGTGTGATTGTGTGACTCCTCACATTTTGACAGAACAGATTGCCAATTTTCTTTAACATAACTTGCACCACCAAAATGTTATTGAGTTGGAATATTTGTTTGAGTTTATTTAATCTAGACTGAATCAAAAGATTAGAAAATGATTCAACTAAAAAATGAAACTAGCGCATAAATATGCACAATTTAATAGTTTAGTTGGATGTTCACTATATTTATCATATTTTAACACTTAATGTAAAACACTATTCATAGCATTATAATGTTTTCTTTTGTTTATTTATATATTGTTAGCTTGCATGACACATGGCAAAATAAATGTAAAACACTATTTATTTTTTTCCATTTACATAAATATTGAGATTGAAATTAAAAATTTTATGGATAAAATCTGCATGATAGAATCTATTTTGAAATTGAAACTTAAATATCAGTCATACTCAAAATTTTAATTTAATTATATTATATTTTTTTGGATTCCAAAATAGCTTATATAAGAGATGAAAAATTTCAATGAAAATCAAATAGATAACTAACATTTCAAGCCATTTTTATTTGGAAATTTTCTTTTTATGTATAAACTAATACTACTGACTTCATTGTACATAGATTTTTCAGTGGATGATTGAATTTTTTTTCCGAATTTAAATAAAAAAAATACTAAAGTATTAATTAAATATTTAAAAATGTGAAAGAGAAGTTTGATTTTGTATATTCAAATTTTTTTTAATAAGTGATGATTTTTTATTGTAATTGTTTGTTATTGTGATTGTTATTAATTTTTGTTTATACTCTGGTTGAATAATTAGGAAATGGAAGCTTGATGTTTGATTTGGATACTTCTTTTGACGTACCTCATTATTTGATAAAAATAAGTAAAAAATGAACTGTAATTAGGGATGTGTAATGAGATGTGATGTGATGCAACTGTGTAATTATAATGAACACATATAATAAATAAAATAAATATATGTGTAAAATTTACTAAAATATTAATAAAATGATTAAGGAATATATTATAATATTTATATTTCAAAATTTTATTATAATTTGAAGTGAAAATTAAAATAATCTTATATTTTGAATAAAATAATAAGATCGTTTTCCATATATCTAATGTTCGTTAGTAATTTATTCTGAAATTTACTTGTTTAAAGATATATTTATATTCATGCTTCTTTTTTATAACATTAGATTAAAAAAATTACATAATTTGGATATCAGAAATTTATAATCATGTAAATTTTTTCTATTGTTAGAAAATTCAAAACATGATTGGATATAAACGTAAATAGATTACATAATATCTTTGAACACAAATACATAATTAAACTCACATGTTTTATCATAAAATATATCTGTAGCCAATCTATAAATGTAAATCTAGAAACTTTCATTTCATTTAATTGAATTATTTTAAATTCACTTGAAAAAATGTACCATTCCTGGAAAAAATTAGATAAGAGTGGGAATTGAAAGAATAACTTCAAATCTCGAACAAAAAAAGTAAACGAGAAAGTTTGTAACTTGACCTTTATAAGAGTAAGTAGCACTTACAATAGAGTTGATGTAGCATTTACAACAGAGGGTATGTAGCCATTTTTCACGAGAGAGAGGGTCTATGTACTTGGGCAGTTGGTGGGTTCTCTATACACATTGTTGGCTTTTGGTCACCACGCAAAAGATGTTATCGTCTATGCTTCTGATCTAGTCTTCGTTCCACGCCTCTCGTTTCTCCTCTCCGTAATTTTCTCCCCAGCTCCTCTTGGTTGAACTGGCGGGAGCTGTGATACAGTCTCAGTCCAGTCTACTTCTTGACTGGACTCAGACTACCTTCGAGGTTTGACTTTGGATTCAAGCTTCATGTGACTTTCTCAGAATGGCCTAAAAGAGGACATCAACACACTAAAGTGCACACTACATTTGATGCAACTGTGTAAATATCCGAGATCGATCGAAATTGGACCCATCTTTTATCCCTAGAAAGAAGTTGTTTTGGGCAATGGAGCTTTTTCATATAAGAGCTTCAGGGTCACTGTCTGCCCTGGAGGAAGTGGAGAATCAGAATGATCGAGGTCTCTGAGGATACCATACGATTAAACTTCTATGCAACACGCGAAATTTCTGTTTTTTCTATCAGATCCAGATATCAGCACTAGTGGTTCTGGAATTCTTCATGAGAACTTACATGATGTCGGCTTCGGCCCGATCGCGTCTGCGTCGAGACTCGGGAACGCAGTGCAGGGAACACTGGAACATGGAGTGTGCTGAGGCTGCGGTACTCTTAGCTTGGCAAGGTCCAATCAATATTCGGCCTGCGGGCCTATGCCCTTCAAGTTAAGGCCGTTGGATGAGTTCAACCTGCTCGAAGCGACCTGGGACATCTGATCTCAACCAGATCCGCAACTTGTGTGCTGTAACGCGCGCGAAAAAGTGCCTTTCTCTTCTTATCGTATTCAAATAAGCGAAAGGAAAACACTTCTCGCGATCATCATCGGCGGCTCCGTGCTCGAAGTGTTCGAGATACTGATTGCAGATGAAATCATATTCGTTCACATAGAGATACGGATACCAATTGCCTTCGGCCAAGGTCTGGAATTCCTGTAATGCTCTTTGGCGCGCGAAGTCGGTGTCTTCCTCGAGAAGTTCGTACGCGTACTTCTCGACGCCGTCAATCGTGGTCCGCAATACCATGGGAGTCAAACGTAGCACCAGCGATTTCAGATGGGCGAACGGAGGATTGAAGAAGTGGCCCTCGACCAGACAGCGCTCCAGGGCCAGCCTCCGGCATACCAGCAAGCCCACTGCGGCACCGAGTGAATGACCGGTCACGCCCACGCTCTGGTACCCATGTTGCGCAACGAGACGCCGGACCACAACCTCCACAATGGTGGTCAACTGTGCACTGTTCAGCTGCTCAAAAACTATACTCAAATTGTTTAGGAGATCTGCCGTCCTGGAGAAGTCAGTTCCCCGGATGGCAACTACCCATTTTAGAGCATTGGCTGGAGGACTGTTCGTCGTTAGTTGGAAGACACCGAAGTACTTGTGCGTTCTTTCATACTGGAGTGCTGCACAACCATATAAGTTTTGCCTCAGTCAAGCAAGGTCGGATTCAGACGGGGTTCAGGCCGAGATGGATCATGTGAGTTCGATAGAAAACGCACCATCTTTATACACCTCCTGCTCGTCCTCAGACAATACTGCTGCAAGTTTCACGCGTTGATACTGCATAGCGGTCCACCATTCCTCGTATCTTTCTGCACGTTTGAACCTGTCATATATCCCATAGACCAGCCTTGCGTAGATGAAACGTTTCGTGATCCATATTGTTTCGTCACTGTCATTATCATGGGCCGACATTGAGCTTGATCAGTTACACCACATCTTACACGCTAAAGCTTCTGACATTCTTCCAATGCACGTAACAATTGCTCATGTCTATGAAACGAAGATTGGTACAGGAAAAATCGGAGCTCAGAGTCTAGCCAGTCTTCTTACTCTTGCCATTCATTTCCGTTTGGATTCATCCGTGGAACGTTCTCCTTTGCTGCCGCCTTCCTCCAGTTATGATAATAATTGTACCCAAAATATCCAAGCAACCCCCAAATAACCACTCCGGCCATCGTCTGGTCTCTGAAAAGAATACGAAGGTGTCATTTATGATGATGCTGTATGTGGCAGCTCACTACGTCTCCAGCTGACCTCCGGAGTTGGTTAATTCTCTTCGTGGGGACATGCATTTCCTTCTCTGCAACCTACGAACAACTGAGAACCATGAATACTACATGAATTGTCACAATCCAACAAAGCTTCCACTCATTCGTGTGCGAGAACGATATAACCAGACCTCGCAGAGTTGCTCGTCGTTCAGACCTGGTGCCGAAGTGATAGGGATCGTACTGAGCGAGAGGCGTCTAGACACGATCCCGGTACAGAGACTTCATCTTGCGCTGCCCAGACCCAGGCCTGCTCACTCACCCCACCCCATGAAGCCACTGCCTCTGCCATTGCAAACAGCTTGTGAGCTGATATACCCTCAAACGCTCAGGCTCAGCTTCAGCTTCAGCTTCGAATGTATCTTATCATATGCCTGCCAGCTGCATTCTCTACCCTGGTCACTGCTGTAGCATATGCTGCACTTGCTTGCCTTCGGTGTTTTAGGATCATGCGGTTGCCATGACCAAGATCGAGCAAGAGCGTCTACCGAGCGACCAAATTGGTAGCGAATTTGATCGAATAGACATTATTCTGCATAAACTATGCCCATCCATGTCTAAACGTAGGACTGTGCTGGAGAGCTACAAGAGTCAAGTTGATGTCCCATCCTTTGTTGTTTTCTACTTGACCCCGATTGTGTGGGTTCTCACACATAGTCTATCGTCTTTAGTTGCACTTGTGCTCTACATACAAACATGAAAGGTAAAATATTGCAAGTGACTGAAGTGTCAACTCCCATCCAGCAACTTGATTGACATAAACGTCCACGAAAGATACAATGCAGAATCTTTCTAGAAGTTTAAATCAAAGCATAAACGAATACAAGTTAAAGAGTGACGCAGAGACTGCCCTCACTTCCGATTCTGAGTCCCATTCTTTCATTATAATATAATGACGGAAAGGATATTCAGCGCATCATCGCATAAATGTGACACTTTCTTATGGTATATTCATTTGAGTTCATGAAACGAGGAATCGGTCAGCTCATTGATGAGCTTCACAGAGACGAATGAAGCCCACCGTTCGCATCACGCCCATCGTTGGAATAGTGAGCGAGGAATCAATCGATTGAGAAATCAAATCATCTAAAAGATGAGGAATAACTTAAGGAATAACTTTGCAACTAGCTTTTCAGATGAGGAATCAAATCATCTGAGGAATCAATCGATTTCATGCAGAGCAGTGTCTAAGATGCCCTGTAGCAAAAGTTAATTTCATATTAAAGCTTTTTGTTTGATTTTTGTAAAAATGTAGATTTGATACTTATTTATATATATATATTTTTGAACGTGTCAGTGCCGGGGTACGTGACGAAATCAAGTCGCACGACGAAACGATGCATATTGAAAATGTATGTTGTGCTGAAGTATATGATGATCGCACTGTTCAAATCATTTGAAGCCAAGGTGTCCTGCACCTACGACGGGTGGTCAAACACAATGTTGAAGGGGTTTTACTCCGTCACGGTGCATTGGGTCCATGTTGCGACTGGCGATCTTGTCGAAACCTTACTGGACTTCTTCTACATTTTTCCGAGTGAAGGGTGTGGTTTGCGCTGTGCCGAGGCCATATTCAATCTGCTCTGTGCCTTCGGCCTGGGCGATCGGATCCTTGTCACGGTCTCTGACAATGGTTCAGACGCGGTTAACGCTGGAGTGCATCTGTCGTCCATGCTTCGCACTCGTTTCAGCCATGATGTGCTGCCTGATGATCATCGTGTGCGTTGCTTTACTCATTCATTTCAGCTCGGAATCAATGCTGCGATCAGGGTCATTCAGCCGTCGGTTGCTATGCTTCGAAAATCGATCGCTATGCTTCGCAGTGGCAAGGCCCGTCGTGCTGCGTTCCGCAGATTCGCTGTGGCAGCGTATGAGCGCACCATGGAGCCACCGTGCCTAGATGTTGTGACACGATGGGGCTCCACAAATAATATGTTGGCATCGGCTCTCAAGTGTCGACAAGCAATTACAATGACCGTTGGATTTGAGGAGATTGCCAAGGATTTTGTTGATGCTGGCATCGATCTGTCCGATGAAAAGATTTGGTCGCAGACGAAGTCGCTGGTCAAGTAGCTGGAATTGCCAACCAAAATTTCTAGCTGCATGGGCGGCGCGAAATACTGCACGATCAGTACCGCGCAGATTGCTTCTGACGCAGCTGTTTATCATTGTAACCAGTCTCTTTCAAGCGATGACCATGTTGTCCGTGAATGCAGCGAGGTTTGCCTCGCGACCATGCTGCCATATCAACAGCATTTCAACAGTCGACCTGCTCGCATCGCCCAATTCCTCGACCCTCGCATTCCGAAGCCACTAGCTGAACGGAACGTGGCGCTGACAACTATCAATTTCTTGATGGCAACGACTTATTCCGCGGCGGTCGATGCGGAAGCAGCACGAGCAGCATTGCGCGTCCGCGCTGGAGATCAATGGCACTCAAACAGCGATTCGTCGGCTTTAACGGGCGTGGCAATGCTACTCCGGGCGCGTCGTCAACGTCAGCTTGATACTGGTGATGCTGCCGTCGAGCCGCAGAACACAAACACAGAAGTTGCCCGCTTCTGTGAGTACCCGATTGTCCCCGATGACACCGACGTGTTTGGCTGGTGGCTTGCCCATCGAATCGACTTCCCTGTGCTGTTCGTCATTGCAATGGATTACCTCGGCGCGCCTGCCTCGTCAGTCCCGGAGGAGCGAGCCAACTCGCTGGCAAAGCACATCTTCGACGACCGTGCAATGCTTCACGAAGCATCCTTTAAGGCCGAGATTTGCAGCAGCTCCTGGTTGACGCTGTTGCGCTCGCTAAATGTCGAATTGCCGACTGATTGGAATGCGCCATACAAGCAGCTGCGCGACAAGAAGGAGATCAACCTCAAGGAGGCCGCTGATGAGGATACGGTGATCGAGTATCTGCTCGGTGACGATCATGGACGCAAGTCTGATGGCGACGCCGGCGCTGACGACGAATAGCTGCTAGTCTCTCATGGACGCCCAGGCGCTGTGAGCGAATGATAAAGATCGAATAAAACACCCGCAAACTGTTGCTGCGGCATAGCGCAGAATCAGCGTTACCAATTTGCGGCCACGCGGGCCACATTTGAGCACCGATTTGACGTGTTGCCGTCGTTTGGTAACAATTTATCGAATAGGCTGGTGAAGCCGGCTTCGAGCTGGCTTGAGCCGGCTCCTGTTTCGGCGACCGGCTCCGAGCTGAGCCGGCTCCATGTATGAGCGGCTCAAGCCGAGCCGAGCCAGAGCCGAGCCGGGCCGACCGCTAGTCATCACTGAGGGGTACCTTCCTCTCCCTCAATCTCGCCCTCTTATTCAATCACAGAAAAATCAGGAACTTCTCTTTCTTGACACGTTATTCCGCAGCCGCTGCTTTGCCTAAATGCTACTCCTTCGATAATCAATTCAACCCTCTAACACTCAGTTCGTAACCGTAATACTTTTAATTTACTGTTCACTATCACTAATCCTTTCACAACACACGAGCACAATATTTCATCGTTAACTCAAGTACAATCCAAGCTCAAGGCTTGCGCTCTTTTTAGTTTTTGAACAGCAATCATAAAAAATAAAATCAAGTCATAACAAAAATTTAAGGGTTAAGAACGCATGTGAGCACTGTTTTTAGGCTCCTTTACAAATACATAGTAGGAAAAACATGTTCACGCCACTTTGGGTCGGGGCCAAAAGGAAGCATTTGAAGACACAAGAACATCAAAAAACAAAAAAAAAAAAACATTGAAAATCTATAAACTTTGTGATATTGTTATGAACACTTATCGTGCTCCAACTATGCTAGGGGAAACTTAAGAATTGAATCAATTACTAGATGATTTCATTAATTATTTGGTCCTTTGTCAAAGTCCAACAAACATTTTGCACATAATTATTGCTACGAGACTCCATCATAGACTTCATAAGCTCTGATATCAATTATGACAGGTTCTTTCTTAGAACTTAGAGTCAGTAAAAAGTTAAAATACACAAGAGTAAAATTCAATAGTAAACAGAGATACTAAAACATAAGCTCAAGCTATATAGTGGTGATACTAACTTGGCTGCTAACTCAAATAAGCTAATCATGAATTAATCCAAAACACAAATTAAAAAATTGACCGTCAAAAGCCATAAATCTTGGCAAAACTTTGAGGCCAAAATTTGACTTTAATAACAATGATGACGGAAAAAACAATCAAAAAGATACTATAAGTATTGTCATATTTCATTTGCAACCTTTAATTTTAAGCAAGTGGATGAGTATGACAAATGTACTTCACTGAATCTTCATGACAAGAGTGTTCATGTCAAGAGGGAATTTTGTGTGAAAATCAAATGTGTTGATTCTCTATTAGCCAAAATGGCTGTAGAATTTGATTTTGAGAAGTATGGACATGATACTTGAAGTATTAACTATGCAATTACTCAAAAGCTATTATTGATGTATGGATTCTAGATTGTGCTTGTTCTTATCACATTTATTATGTTTTTATGAGAATAATCAAATTTTGAAGATTGAGTGTTTAGGATCCAAAGTGTATGGATGTCTGATGAATACCATGTACATTGATTCAAGTTAGATTATAAATGATATAAGAAAGAATTTTATCTTATTTGAATTATTATATTTAAAAGTACTTGAGTGAAATACTAAAAAAGTAGAGCTTGAGATTAGATTGCATGCTAAGACTACTTTTTGAAATCAAAAGAACAACAAGCTATACTTGCTTTAGTACACTACCATATATGATGAATTTCACTTTTTTAGGTCATGAGCCAAGATGTGTCATGAGTGTAAACTAGAGCAAATGAATAATAAAAACATGTAATTTCAAGATGCTAAAATTTTATCACTTAACATAGATAAAGATAATTAAGATTTTTACAAAAATTGTATGAAGAACAAGCATCAAATTCAAGTTTTGATGTTGGAACTTAAAATTTAAAGAAATCGTTTGAATATGAACATAATAAAATGTGGGCCTCATACTCAAAGATCTATTTTGTTGAAAAGTTTGACTATGTGTATCTTTGATGAATACTCAAAACTTTTGTGAGGTTATCTATTCACACACATTATTTTTTGTTTGAACAATCTAGATAACATTGTGCTCTTACCAAAGCATGAGAAGCAAAAGTAAGGTTTACTATCATTGTTAGTTACTTATATGTTTTTTACTCTATTATTTGGCTATGGAATAGTTATAATTAACTTTAGTGTAAATAGGTATCTTTCTTAAGTTTAATTCTAAGAATTCTTGTAGAGTTCAAGAAGGCTAATGTTTACCTACATGTGTTAAAGGGTAAATTGATAAGATTTACATTTGTTGATGACGGTGGTAGTGGACTTGCGATAAGAATGTCTACTTAAAGTGATGAGATCAAGATCTACTCAAACATTAAAATTAAAACTACGTTGGTGTTTTTTTTAATTTTTATGTGTGACTCCTCATATTTTGACAGAACAGATTGCCAATTTTCTTTAACATAACTTGCACCACCAAAATGTTATTGAGTTGGAATATTTGTTGAGTTTATTTAATCTTAGAGTGAATCAAAAGATTCGAAAATGATTCAACTAAAAAATGCAACTAGCGCATAAATATGCACAATTTAATAGTTTAGTTGGATGCCCACTATATTTTATCATATTTTAACACTTAATGTAAAACACTATTCATAGCATAAAAATATTTTCTTTTTTTTACTTATATATTGTTAGCTTGCATGACAAATGGCAAAATAAATGTAAAACACTATTTATTTTTTTCCATTTTCATAAATATTGAGATTTGAAAATTTTATGGATAAAATCTGCATGATAGAATCTATTTTGAAATTGAAACTTAAATATCAACCATACTGAAGATATGAATTTAATTATATTATATTTTTTTGCATTCCAAAATAGCTTATATAAGAGATGAAAAATTTCAATGAAAATTAAATATATAACTAACATTTCAAGGCATTTTTATTTGGAAATTTTCTTTTTTATTTATAAACTAATACTACTGACTTCATTGTACATAGATTTTTCAGTAGATGATGGAATTTTTTTTCCGAATAAAATATATACTAAAGTATTAGTTATATATTTAAAAATGTGAAAGACAAGTTTTATTTTGTACAGTCAAATTTTTTAAAATAAGTGATGATTTTTTATTGTAATTGTTTGTTATTGTGATTGTTATTAATTTTTGTTTATACTCTTGTTGAATAATTAGGAAATGGAAGCTTGATGTTTGATTTGGATACTTCTTTTGACGTCCCTCATTATTTGATAAAAATAAGTATAAAATGAACTAAATAAATATACTGAAATAAGTGTAAAATTTACTGAAATATTAATTAAATGATTAAGGAATATATTATAATATTTAAATTTTGAAATTTTGTAATCATAATTTTAAGTGCAAATTAAAATAATCTTATATTCTGAATAAAATAATACGATCGTTTTCCATATATCTAATTTTCGTTAGTAATCTATTCTGAAATTTACTTGTATATAGATATATTTATATTCATGCTTCTTTTTTATTACATTAGATCAAAAAAATTACATAATTTGGATATCAGAAGATTATAATCATGTAAATTTTTTCTATTGTTAGAAAATTCAAAACATGATTGGATATAAACGTAAATAGATTACATAATATCTTTGAACACAAATACATAATTAAACTCACATGTTTTATCATAAAATATATCTGTAGCCAATCTATAAATGTAAATCTAGAACTTTTCATTTCATTTAATTGAATTATTTTAAATTCACTTGAAAAAATGGACCATTCCTGGAAAAAATTAGATATGAGTGGGAATTGAAAGAATAACTTCAAATCTCGAACAAAAAAAGTAAACGAGAAAGTTTGTAACTTGACCTTTATAAGAGTACGTAGCACTTACAATAGAGTTGATGTAGCATTTACAACAGAGGGTATGTAGCCATTTTTCACGAGAGAGAGGGTCTATGTACTTGGGCAGTTGGTGGGTTCTCTATACACATTGTTGGCTTTTGGTCACCACGCAAAAGATGTTATCGTCTATGCTTCTGATCTAGTCTTCGTTCCACGCCTCTCGTTTCTCCTCTCCGTAATTTTCTCCCCAGCTCCTCTTGGTTGAACTGGCGGGAGCTGTGATACAGTCTCAGTCCAGTCTACTTCTTGACTGGACTCAGACTACCTTCGAGGTTTGACTTTGGATTCAAGCTTCATGTGACTTTCTCAGAATGGCCTAAAAGAGGACATCAACACACTAAAGTGCACACTACATTTGATGCAACTGTGTAAATATCCGAGATCGATCGAAATTGGACCCATCTTTTATTCCTAGAAAGAAGTTGTTTTGGGCAATGGAGCTTTTTCATATAAGAGCTTCAGGGTCACTGTCTGCCCTGGAGGAAGTGGAGAATCAGAATGATCGAGGTCTCTGAGGATACCATACGATTGAACTTCTATGCAACACGCGAAATTTCTGTTTTTTCTATCAGATCCAGATATCAGCACTAGTGGTTCTGGAATTCTTCATGAGAACTTACATGATGTCGGCTTCGGCCCGATCGCGTCTGCGTCGAGACTCGGGAACGCAGTGCAGGGAACACTGGAACATGGAGTGTGCTGAGGCTGCGGTACTCTTAGCTTGGCAAGGTCCAATCAATATTCGGCCTGCGGGCCTATGCCCTTCAAGTTAAGGCCGTTGGATGAGTTCAACCTGCTGGAAGCGACCTGGGACATCTGATCTCAACCAGATCCGCAACTTGTGTGCTGTAAAGCGCCCGATAATGTGCCTTTCTCTTCTTATCGTATTCAAATAAGCGAAAGGAAATAGATGGAAAGACTCCGTTTCCCAAAAAATAATGTGAGGAAATGAAGAAAAATACTTCTCGGGATCATCATCGGCGCTTCCGTGCTCGAAGTGTTTGAGATACTTATTGCAGAGGACGTCATATTCGTTCACATAGAGATACGGATACCAACGGGCTTCGGCCAAGGTCTTGAATTCCCGTTTTGCTCTTTGGAAGGCGGTGTCTCCGTCGAGAAGTACGCTCTTGAGGCGCGCAATACCGTAACAGACGGAATCACTCGTGGGCTCCAATACCCTGGGAATCAAACGTTGCACCAGCGATTTCATGTGGGCGAACGGAGGATTGAAGAAGTGGCCCTCGACCGGACAGCGCTCCAGGGCCAGCCTCCGGCATACCAGCAAGCCCACTGCGGCACCGAGTGAATGACCGGTCACGCTCACGCTCTGGTACCCATGTTGCGCAACGAGACGCCGGACCACAACGTCCAGAATGGTGGTCAATTGTGAAAGGTTCAGAGACTCAAAAACTATCCTGAAATTGTTTCGGAGATCTTCCACCTTGGAGAGCTCAGTTCCCCGGATGGCAACTACCCATTTTAGAGCATTGGTTGAAGGACTGTTCGTCGTTAGTTGGAAGACACCGAAGTACTCGTTCCTTCCCTCATACCGGAGTGCTGCACAACCATATAAGTTTTGCCTCAGTCAAGCAAGGTCGGATTCAGACGGGGTTCAGACCGAGATGGATCATGTGAGTTCGATAGAAAACGCACCATCTTTATACTTCTCCTGCTCGTACTCAGACAATACTGATGCAAGCGGGACGAGTTTATACTGCATAGCGGTCCACCATTCTTGGTATCTTTCTTTACTATTGTGCCTGTCATATATCCCATAGACCAGCCTTCCGTAGATTCTACGTTTCGTGATCCGTGTTGTTTCAAGACTGTCATTATCATGGGCCGACATTGAGCTTGATCAGTTACACCACATCTTACACGCTGAAGTTTCTTGCATTCTTCCAATACACGTAACAATTTCTCATGTCTATGAAACGAAGATTGGTACAGGAAAAATCGGAGCTCAGAGTCTAACCAGTCTTCTTACTCTTGCCATTCGTTTCCGTTAGAGATCATCCGTGGAACGTTCTCCTTTGCTGCCGCCTTCCTCCATTTATGATATTGGCTGTGCAAAAACCAAGCAGTCAACCCCCAAATAACCACTCCGGCCATCGTCTGGTCTCTGAAAAGAATACGAAGGTGTCATTTATGATGATGCTCTATGTGGCAGCTCACTACGTCTCCAGCTGACCTCCGGAGTTGGTTAAATCTCTTCGTGGGGACATGCATTTCCTTCTCTGCAACCTACGAACAACTTAGAACCATGAATACAACATGAATTGTCACAATCCAACAAAGCTTCCACTCATTCGTGTGCGAGAACGATATAACCAGACCTCGCAGAGTTGCTCGTCGTTCAGACCTGGTGCCGAAGTGATAGGGATCGTACTGAGCGAGAGGCGTCTAGACACGATCCCGGTACAAAGACTTCATCTTGCGCTGCCCAGACCCAGGCCTGCTCACTCACCCCACCCCATGAAGCCACTGCCTCTGCCATTGCAAACAGCTTGTGAGCTGATATACCCTCAAACGCTCAGGCTCAGCTTCAGCTTCAGCTTCGAATGTATCTTATCATATGCCTGCCAGCTGCATTCTCTACCCTGGTCACTGCTGTAGCATATGCTGCACTTGCTTGCCTTCGGTGTTTTAGGATCATGCGGTTGCCATGACCAAGATCGAGCACGAGCGTCTACCGAGCGACCAAATTGGTAGCGAATTTGATCGAATAGACATTATTCTGCATAAACTATGCCCATCCATGTCTAAACGTAGGACTGTGCTGGAGAGCTACAAGAGTCAAGTTGATGTCCCATCCTTTGTTGTTTTCTACTTGACCCCGATTGTGTGGGTACTCACACATAGTCTATCGTCTTTAGTTGCACTTGTGCTCTACATACAAACATGAAAGGTAAAATATTGCAAGTGACTGAAGTGTCAACTCCCATCCAGCAACTTGATTGACATAAACGTCCACGAAAGATACAATGCAGAATTTTCTAGAAGTTTAAATCAAAGCATAAACGAATACAAGTTAAACAGCGACGCAGAGACTGCCCTCACTTCCGAGTCTGAGTCCCATTCTTTCATTATAATATCATGAGGGAAAGGATATTCAGCGCATCATCGCATAAATGTGACACTTTCTTATGGTATATTCATTTGAGTTCATGAAACGAGGAATCGGTCAGCTCATTGATGAGCTTTACAGAGACGAATGAAGCCCACCGTTCGCATCACGCCCATCGTTGGAATAGTGAGCGAGGAATCAATCGATTGAGAAATCAAATCATCTAAAAGACGAGGAATAACTTAAGGAATAACTTTTCAACTAGCTTTTCAGATGAGGAATCAAATCATCTGAGGAATCAATCGATTCTATGCAGAGCAGTGTATAAGATGCCCTGTAGCAAAAGTTAATTTCATATTAAAGCTTTTTGTTTGATTTTTGTAAAAATGTAGATTTGATACTTAAATAAATAAATAAATAAATAAATAAATATTTTGACCATTTTCTCCAATTTCTATATATTTTATAGTAAGAAGAAATGTCAAATCAAAGATTTTTCATTAGGATGAGCAGTATAAATAATCAAATTTTCTTGAATATAAAAGAGTCCAGGAGCAACAACAAGAGTTGTCAAAAGTTCTAACACATTTCAAAACTTATTGATAGCATTTTTAATCCAATTTTTTTCCTTTATAATATTATTAATAGACGTCCAAAATCAATGTTTTGTTCTTTTAGTTGACATTGGGTCAATCACATACATTCTATTTTGAGCAGTAATTTTTTGCCGTAGTGGGAACATATTTTTATTTTATATTTTTTTGGTGCATATTTCATGTTATTTTTTGTTGTCTGATGAATGAAGTGAAATTACTAACATTACGAATAACATCACAATTATTTTTTAAAAAAAAATTAATTTTGAAAAATGGAGCTTTGCAAAATTATTATGACGTAGCCAAAACAAGTTTTTAAATTGTTGATGAAAATAATCAACAAATCAAAATCTTGCAAAATCATTTTCAATATTGCAGATGATTTGAAATAACAAGAACTTTCACTTTGTAAATTTTTCTTTCAAATTAATTTTTGGTTATGAAAATTTTGATATTAAAAAATATACTTAAAAAAATTTCTAAATTATTTAAACGTAATTAGTTTATTTTCTATTTTAAATTTTTACAATGGATAACTTTATAAAGAAATTACAATGCCAAGATGTGCATCTGTAGATGCATATCAAACACTATAGTGATAGTATATTTTGCATTCAACTTCATTCATATTTGATATGTTGTTTATTTAGAAATCACTTTTAAACAATTAGAACTCAGAATGAGATACAAAAATTGAATTTTGAGTTGAACTTTGGAGTTATAACAACTATAATGCAAAATTTTTGGATATAAGAACATTTTTATAGCTACAATATGGAATTAGTTGGATATTGATGTGATGTTTTAACATCATAATGATAATCAAATTGTCTTGATAAACATTTGAAAATTTGATAAATAAAGACAATACAATTTTGATGATTTATGAAAATATGTGTATTGTGATATTTCATGTGACAACAATACAATTTTGTTGCAATAGATATGTGCATAATATCTCAAATTGCTATGATTGTACTTACTTCTTCTAAATCAAAGTTTCATTATTAAAACATATAATATTATCAAAACCTTCATCAATAACAACGTTGAGAGTAAAATTATTACTAATATCATGTTTTTATGTATATTACTTTCCTTGAATAAATTAAGAAAGATGATATTCTTGCAAATTGTCACGGTCGTGACATGCACAACAAACATTGAATTTTTAGTGGCAATGATTCTTTCCAACTTCAAAATACTAGTATCGGTGATTGTAATTTTGTGTAACTTCACACTAAAATTTAGAGTCCTCGTAACTTGCTTACAACGTGTATAGGGAGTTTTGAAATATTATATCTAGATTGATAGTAATGTAATTGTCTTAGTTACTTTTTTGGAGTATATATAAAGAGTTTTGGAACATTATACCTAGTTAGATCGTAATGTGATCATTTAGGTCATTACGATGAATTCTATGTCTTGATGAACATTTTACAAATTGAAAAGATAATTGTGATATATTTGTGATGGTCTGTGACAATATGGGTATTCTGATGTTTTAGGTGACAACAATATTTTTTGTGCGGAAACGTGTATGCATTATATCTCAAATTTGCTATCCTTGTATTAATTTGAATTAAATCAAAATTTTCCTCAATGACAACTTTGAGAATGTTAATGTTATAAAAATTATTATTATTTCATATATGTTTTCTTTTCTAAATTGAATAAGTAAGAATTTATAATAAAGCAAACTTTTTTTTAGTCCTCTCTAATTTTTTCCGAGCAAAAGAAAAAACATAGGAACTCATCAAAACAACATTTTCTTTGAATTTAAATGGATTATGAAAGATGTCATTTCTTGAATAGAGCTTTGACAAGCAATCACAACTGCACACGGTTTCTCTTGGAATTGAAGTCACATAGTGCATGCTTATCGAAGCCCAACATTAGCCGCCTATGTTCATGTCCAAATCCATCAATCCGAGAGGATTTTAGATGACTTTTTTGATTAATTTTCTTCCATGGATGAGTTTAGATGGATAGTATTTTATAATGAATTTGGATGGTCATAGTTTTTGATTGGATACAAACTCATGCCCATCAATACTTTTTGAGATCTAGCTGAAACTTTAGCCATCTTGGTTTCATGCTTTTTGCATTCCATGCACAAGACACGATGAGAATTGGAATATTACAAGCAAAACCATGACGTGAATGTTAAAACTAAGGTACATGAGGATCTATTGTTGACTGAAGAAAACCTATCGTTGAAAAAACAAACAATTTTTGACAAAGCATATTGGACAGAATAATAAATCTTTAGTTTGTGATATTCAAACAAGATCTGGTGTAGATAAGTAATACACATTACGCAATTTTCTTTAAACGTAGAAGTAATTTGTATGGCATGGATGGACATAAGCGAACATAGTTTTTTGATGATGGTTATGGTCTGGATACAAATTTTGCATTAAATGTTGGATTCTGTTGTTTATATAGTTGACAAGTTCTATAGATGATTTTTTATCATGTCAAAGGCATGACAATGTTTCTCTGTATGTGTCTAAACACGATATCAATCAAAATATTCATTTATCAAGTCTTTGGGCAAAAAATTTATCAATAGAGACTCAAGTATTCGTTCCAAGGATATTGTGAAATAGAACAAATAGCAAAAGATTCTAGAATTCAATATCAAAAGTCACCGTTGGTCTTATGGGAGGATGACCCCTCCCTTCCAGCGATTAGAGTGGCGAAAGAGGCACTATAAAAATGACCAAAAAAAATTACACCTAGAGATGCATTTATCTTTTCACAACTGCTCTAGACTATTAGATCCGGATTAGTAAGTCACGCAAATACCCCCACAAACCTCAATCAAAGACTACAACGACATATGAATCTGGACTCAAAATGAGAATTTAACAAAACAAGATAAGTGTGAACTGTGATAACAAACAAATACCAAAATGGAGCATAATGGTACAAATTTGTTCCTACAGAGACAGAAGCAACATCAAAGATTCAAGAATTATCACTAGTTAACATTCTATCAAGGAGTTTTACTTCTCAAGCACATATCACTTCAAGAAGACACTGGTCAATCAAGGCCGAAGATTCAAAGAGTAGAGTATAATCACACACACAACCTGAAATTTGTCCAATCAAAGCCTACGGGAATCGCATCCGACCCCACACTCAGAATTCAGGGAAAAAACTTCCCAGAATTGCTCATTCTCAGCCTATTGCCCTCCCGAATACCCAAACTCGAACTTGCTTAAATCCCAAATAGCCCCAAACACACTCGGATATCCGAATCGGACACGCACAACTTCAGATGCGGTAGCTTTGACAAACTGAAGCGCACCATGCACGGTGACAGACACAAACAATTTCACAAATGCGCACAATAGACACAGGTTGACAGCCGAGACAAAACATTTGACAAAAAAGCCCTTCAAGGAAAGAGCCTTGTGTCTCTTTACAAGATGTACACTTAACTTTAAGATGTACTTTACTCTCGGTAAAGTACATCACTCACTCAGCTTCCAGCTGGTTTTAATCTATGCAACACGTCTAAAATCTTGATCTCTAAGTTCTCTCGCGCTTCTCACAGTCCAGGATAGAAAGAATTGACTAATCTAATTAACTGTCGATGTTCGAAGGTTCCGCTGATCTTGAGTTCCATCAATCGTTGCTCTAGCAAATCTAATTTCAGCCATTTCAACGTTTGGATTTGCCACATAACAAAAATGCGCAGACACTTCTGAATGCGCAGACGCAAATTGTAGGTTGTCTCCTCCTTCAGCTGACGAAACGCCAATTTTGCCACTTCTGCTTTGATCCGCGACGCCTCCAACTGCTTCGTAATTGCCTTCTATTGATCTCGCAGCTGATCGCAATCTGCATCCAACTTTAATCCACATTCGACATTAAAAGACTTGGTCGTTTCACACACTATCAATTTCGTCGCCCAACTAGCCAATTTGAATTCATGGTTCTTCATCTACTCCACCAAACTTGCGATAAGCTCATTTGCACATTGCAATTCTTTATTATGGGCTTTAG